TGTTGCCCAAGATTCTTGCATTAGTGCACAAATACTTTGGTTGTTCCTAACTAACCATTCACAGTTTCTTAGCTGAATTAATTCCTGCACTACCTGCATCACCAGTCTATCAGCATTACTGTTTTCCTTCCCTGCTCCCCATCCCCCTGTATTCTATTAACTTTTGAGTTTCACTGTGAGACTTCCCAGTCACTACCTACTCATTTTATCCTCTCTGCTGTACCTGGGAAGAGGCATGAAGCTTTGAAACTTTAATGTTGCTTTCAGTAAATGTTGTTTTTATCAAGTCCTATATCGTGATTTAATGTAGTTGACAGAGTTTGGGATAAATGTACCTGTTTCACACATGCTACACTTGATAACTATTAATGGAAAGGTTACTTCCCAGACAATATGGAATTCCTGGTGTTTGTGCAAGGAAGGTTGTCAGTACTTTTAAATCCCTTAAGGGTGGTTGAGGTCATACTCCTCCTTCTTCCCACATCCAGGAATTAAAAAATGATCAAGTGCTTTGTCAGCATAATGTAGTCCTCGCAAGTCAGACTTTGGTGCCCACACAGACATCAGCTATGCGTAGGTGTAGAGTTGTGAGCAGAGTATGATTGTGGTGGAGCAGAAAGAGGAGAAGAGAGCAGGACAAGACGCTTACACTACTGTCCTTTCTGCCAGTAGTTGCCATCTTTTGCCTGTGAATCTCTGGATTTGCTTTAGAAGAACAAAATGACAGCTGAAACATGATGATGTGGTTGGCATCTATCACCTCTTGATTTCATAGGACCTATCTGCCACATTGCAACACAAAAGGACTTGAAATGGCAGAGGGACTTAAAAAAAAATAAAAGGCTGGTAGGGTTGGGATTAGATTAAATTTAGTCTGTTGTGCTGAAATCTCCCTTTGTGAGCAAGCAGCAGGGAAGGTGGTGAGGATTTAGGCCTCAGGAATAGTCATTTAATTACTGATTACCACCAATCACTTTCCCAAATTCCTTTCCTCATCTATTGGAACAGTTTTATTTATCAGGCAGCTGTCCATGGAGATTTCTGTGTAGAAAATGCCTGGAACTCTTGAACCCTGGATCTGAGTAGTTCCATGGATATTCACAGATGAGATGCTGGACTTTTTAATGCCAATGTAAGTTTTGTTAATGACTTGCTAAAGTCAGGATTTCACTTACGTTTACATATGTGTTGGACTTTCTTCTGATGGTACTCTGAGGGTGGGAAAGAATTTGATTGTTTATCTAAAATGGTGCTGAATGGATCTCAGACTGATCCAGTGCTGCATTTGGATTCACTTTCACAAGGAACAATACGGAACGAAACTCTTGAATTTTATTTTTTTTTCAGTTGAAATAGAAGTCTTGAAAGCCCCCCCATTTTACTGTTTCATGTGAGGGAAGGGCTGGCAACTTCATGTTTTCTCAACTGAAGCAAGTTACCAGATTCTGAATATGCTACAATATATCAGGACTGCTATAGATAATAATGCAGTCATTATCAAAGGTATGCTGCAAGGCATCATGGACTGACATTTTCAAATTGCCATGTAAATCTGCCTGACACAGCTTTAAAAGAAATAAAACAAGTCTGAAAGGTCCAGTGTTTAGTCTAAAAACACACATGGCTGTGGTTGCTGTTTTAGCCTATGTGGGCTAACCATGGAAGCCTTTTGTCAGCTCTCTGGCCTGCTGAGTGGTGTCAGCTTGACTTGTGTGTTAATTTGCTGACTTTTTGGTTTGATGCTTTCCGTTAAAATTCTCATAAAGAGCCTGTGTGTTTTTGCTTTATTTAGCAGCTTTCCCTATCTAAATGCTCTTCCAAACACCACCCTTGGTGTCACTGAAACTAAGAGAAAGCGCTTTCAACATTTATTCACTGTTGGAATCATTTATTCGCCATTTATATGATACTGAAAAGATGGAGGCAGATGGAGAGCCTTGCAAAGTGATGATATAACCAAGCGCTGCAGAGAAGAAACACAGTGGCAGTCTTACAAGATCTTTCCCTTATGGAAAAATACTGAATAAAATGATCAGTGGTGTAAGCCATGAACCACCTAGCATCAGCTCAGCCTAGTGCCTTCCTGGCACCAAAGCTTGTCCTGTTTAAATTAAAGGATCCTTCTTACTCCATCTCACCCGTCCCTGCTCTTTAGGTCTGGTTTGCTTGAGGAAGATGACCCTTTACTGGCAGAGGCTGCCAGGAACCAGGAAACAGCCCTGGACTGGATCTCAGTCCAGACTTGCAATTAGAACGGTGTTTTGACACCATTTTTCCTTCTGTGTTGATGGTATGTGTGATCGCCTGTGATGATTTTCTTGGGGCAGATAAGGTACTATGGACCTTCCTCCCTGGAACAGATCACTTCTAAAATATAAATTGATTGAGCAGTTTAGCTGTCACTTTAATGTTGGATAGAATAACTGCTAATTCTCTAGTGTTTGTGCGGCCTGAATGACTCCCCTAATGCTCTTCTATTAAGGAGACATCTACAGGCCAATGTATGGGCACCGGGGTGTTTATTTTCAAATAATGTGTGAAATCATGCTATGCTTACTGCATCTCAGAAAGAGTCACGGCTTGGAAGTGTCCATTCCAAGAACAGCTCCAGAAAACAGTTCCTTGAATCACTAACATTATCTCTATCTTTTGAGTCAACACTGAAAAAAATGCACCCTCAGGAAGCAGCTGCAGGGTGTAGGTTTGGTGTAAGGTAAAAGGCTCACAAATTCCCGTTGGACTTTTGATAAAAATAGAAAGATCAACCATTGTTTAGAAGTAGTCGTCAAGCATTATTTCCCTAGCTTAAATGAATGTCCCTCTATGTCTGAAAACAAAAAATGGTATTACCCTTTATGTCAGCATCTGTTGTGTATTGTTAAATACCTGCCATACCACATACCTTAAGCCACAGTTCATGGATGAAGTAAGTCTTTGTCGTGACCTGTTGCTGCAGCTTGAAGCTCCCAGTGATTGCAGTGAAGCTAGGATCAGGCCCATAGTGGAGAGAGCCTCTAAAGTTCTCTATAACCCATGCACTATAATTTAAAAATATCTAGGTTTATATTTGCCACCACTGAATGCTGTGTCCTGTTTTCTTTTCCACAGGCAGAGTCACCCCAGAACAGCTCAGCTCATACATTCAGCTTTTCAGAAATAATCTCAAAGCTTTGGAGAACCATTGTGGTCTTCTACAGCTTGTGCTGGCCACGGTCCAGACTTTGAAACACCCCCAGACTTCCAAATGGGACAACTTCCTTGCCTTTGAGAGATTACTTCTGCAGGTACATATTATATGAATTTATTTCACCTAAGTAAAATGTTTTACATAATTTTTGAATTCTCATTGAATTCTGTAGCTTGTATTTTTTATGAAGAAGTATATTGGATGTCTTGCTAAAAAGCTGTTCCTTATTGCCAAACTGGTAAAAGGAATGAGAACCTACATAGTTAATCTCTTACAGTTTTGTTTAAGAATAATTTTATAAACAAAAGGGTAGACATTAAAGGTGAAGTACATAAATAATCTGAATTGGGTGATGCTTTTACATCTATGTGAAATTTCAAGATGATATAACTTTTAGCATTGGATAGGATTATTGTTGTTGTTGTTGTTGTTATCGCTACCAGTGTGAAGATGCTTCTTGAGGTAACATGCCGAATTAAATGCAGAGAGGACTTTGTTACTATGTGAGTGTAAAACTTGTGTAATTTACTGAGCAGATGAAAGCATAGTAGGAAATTCCATGCACCGAGAGAGTGAGGTTTCTCTTGCTCACAGCTGTCATCTACCCTCAGCTTTTCCCACCACCACGCTTTTTAACGGCATCCTGTTGGTGACCACAGTATTATTTACATACCATTTTGTATCACACTTGGATTTCTCTCAGGAAATGAAGAGTTAGTGGTATATTGAACTCTATCCTACTAACCTTTGGAGATGTACCAAACAAAGGAGGAGTTTTTCTAAGAACTAATAGAGTTAATTTCTGCTGAAATTCAGGGAAAGCTCAAAATTTTCCTCCCTGTGCTGTCTCTTCCACCATTGTGTTGTTTTTAGAGGAACCATCTTCTGAAATCCTAGCAAGAGGCAAGTCTTCATGAGCTAACTTATAATGAAGTCAGAGTCAGCCTTAAATGCGTGAAGTGTGTAGTGTGGACCTCAACTAAAACCAGGTACTTCTTTTGTAAAAATTAGCTGTCTTGGTCTAGATGTTGAAAACAAACCAACAACCTGCCTCTCCCCATGATCTCTGGCAGCAGGACATAACCTCTGGTCCTTTGAGAAGACTCAGCCCATACTTCATAGCTTTGTAGTCAATGAATTTCTGCGACATTTGGGGGGCAAAAAATGCAAAACTTAAATAGTAGCAATTTAATTTAATTGCTACTAAGTTAATTTTAAAAACTATTCTCTCTTGGTAAGACTGAAATATTTTTGAATAGCATAGCCAGCCTTCTTTCTCTAGTTACGAAACAAACAGATCTCAGGTAAAAGAACTCATTGCAGCCATTCTTTGGTTTGTCTGGACTGTAAAGCGTGGGACTGACAGCCCATAGTCCCCTTCTCTCTCCTGCAGTGACTCATGTCACAGAGCTCTTCTCAGAAGCTGGCTAAGTTCCTTCTTAAAACCAGTTCAACTTTAGAATCAAAATAAAGCTGCAAGCTCAGCGTTGTTTTCACAACAACAGACAGCTGCCTATATAAAAGCCATGCTGTAAATCATCAGGGAGTGGAAAAACAGAGGTAAGAAACAACCAAACTATATATTTCATAAAAAAGAAATGTATAACAAGTACTCTCGTAATCGTAGGTGGCTTTGGATTATACCCACTGCCTTCCACCCATCATATTTAGGTAAAATGTGTTAGCCAAAGCAAACTTTCTATGCTAACATTTGTAACCATTCCTTAAGCACATACTCATTTTCAGTAGTTCAAACAACAATTATTTTGAATTACACAATCTGTACAGCATGTATCCTTTTACTGACTCTATTTTGAAGACAGACTCTGACATGCATTATCTGCTTCTGAGCACATGGCCTGTCTCTGATCTGTTGACAGGGTTTTGTAGGAAGAGCAAAATACTGAGAGACCCAGAAGACATCAGAGATATTTTTATTTTAAAAAATCAATTAGGACATTACATTGTGAATGGTTGGTACATAGCACTCTGCACTAAATTTGATGCCATGATAGTTTATTTCAGCAGTACTACTGAGAAATTCTTTAGCGTAATTATTATGTTTCAGCTATTTTAAAATAATAAATCTTAAAAAATCCTCAATAAAAAGTAATTGTTTCAACATGAAAGTAGTATTGTTACTATCCTATTTTGGAACCACATAGAAGACAACTGTTTGTAAAAGATCTACTGGGAGTAATATTATTAGACTCGGACAACGTAGGAATTCTAGATTTTTCACTGATGGATGCACGTCAGACTCCAGCTGATGCCAAAGGAGATAACCCAGTATAAACAGCTGGTGTTAGAATTCTCAGATTTCCCAAAAAAATAAATATTCACAGTTTTGGAATTTCTCTCATTACTGGATCTCTCTGATGGATCTCATGATTCTCTGCTAAGTCTACTTTGTGCTTTTCAGAAAAACCACATTGTTGACATGAAACCTTTAGTCTAACTCTTACATTGAATAAGCTCTTCCATTTTTCTTCCTCTCTTTACTCCTTGATTCACTCCTTTCAGTTGATGTTGCAAGTACTCAATTCTAAAAATGGCCTAGTAGAGGTAGAAAGCAGCCCACTTCCACTGTTTTATCATAATTAAAGGTCTGTAACTACCTTTTTCAGACCTGTGTTGTCTCAGTAAGTTTTTTGTGTCTCCAGCAAGGAAGTTTGGTTTTGACTAGAAGTCCGCTGAAAGTCAGTGCAGCTGCATACTTACTACAGAGTTGTCCTCTCCTTAACTCGGATGGATGAATGGTCTGAGAGCGAAACTGGATTTTGATGGGATCATGGCCTTGACCTCAAAGGAAAGAGGATCGTGTGCTGGGTTAAGAGTAATGCATCAGAATAATTCATCTTGTCGATCAAAGTTTTCTGTGTTCTGCTGCTCTACCTCTGCACATGATGGAGCTTTTACTACCAAGAAGTTTTAAATGCTTTGTGAATTGAAACAGCATATCCTATTTACCAAGGAGATATCCCACCCCATCGTATTTTCCTTCTCTTGAGGTCCTCTTTCTATTTTTCTAATTCTGACCATCCATAAAACTGATAGGTGGGAAGGGGAACACAAGCTAAATGCTGCGTCACGTTGCCTGCAACACCCCAGTACTCCTCATGTGACTGCATTGTTTTCCTTCAAGTGAGGATTTAAAATTTAGGGAGGTAACAGAAAGTAG